GAGTATTTGTATTCAATGTCTTTTCCCCTTTTGTTTTACCCTATCGGAAGAGGATGCAATCGTTAACGAAGAATGGAAATGTTCATTAACCGTGAAGCATTTTTATTACGAATCAAAATTTCATTTCGGTTTCTTTTACTAACCGCGCGGCATTCCAATCTAGGAAGTCTTGGTGAATTGGCGGAATTGCGAAACATTACGTGATTCTGACATGCATAAAAGGCGAATTGCTTAGCCGGTTGCTGACTTTTCCGGTGTGTTGATTTTGGGTTAATGCCAGTACTTGATCAAACATATTGAAAGATTGCTAGGGTTTGCACTTTAATAATGAGATTAAAAAATACTGAAAATAATTTAATGCTTGAAAATTTAAAAGTATTAAAGTTCGAATCGGAAAAAGGTTTTATTTTATAAAAAAAATTTTATTCCAAACTATTGCTTGAATGTTTAAAATTTACTTCAAGTTTTATTGAAACTTTAAAATAAAATATAATTTCAAATTCAATAATCTATAAAATATGTGAAATTTTTTTATGCATATATTGAACAAAAATCAGATTAAGAATAAAAATCAGATATATTTTCGAATTTTCTTTGAAACAGAAAATCCTTTCCTTTGAAATTATCTTATTTCAATAAAAATGATCATTTCGTATGATGTATAAAAAGACACTACACGTATATTTTAATCGTTTAATGTTGAATAACTCGATTCTTTTCATTCTCGTATGATCAAATAGCGGAAGACGGGCAACATTTCTAGTTTCATTGCGTTTTATCTCTCACAGAGAATCATTGCTTTCAGCGTCAGATGCCTCCGTAAAAAGTGAAAATGACATCGTGTTGGTCGTCATTTTCATGCTGGTTTACCGTACCTGTCACTGACTGACTGAGACTAATAGAGGCGCAGTGCGATGTCACGCGTTCGTTCGAACGCATCTAGAGATTCTAGAGGAAAATTGCTCCCCCGTTGTTTTCTGTCTGCCTTGGGCACGGAGTGAATCATTGCCAACGACCGTACGCCGTGAAACGATTGCTTTTTAATGAAAATCGAATCGTTCTCTCGTCCCTCCTATCCTCCGAGGCACTCTCCCTTAACGAGGGATCCGTTTCAACGATGGCACGCGCGTATTCTTTGTAATTACGTTTGTTATGTGGCTTCACTCGCTTGAGATTTTAGCAATAATCGTTGACCGTTATCGTTTGTTACGCTTCAAGACGAAAATGTATCCGTTACTTGTATATTGCTATAGTGTCGACGATGAAAACTGGAACTCATAAAGATTTAGCTATCTCCTCTTTTATTAGAGTAATTTTGAAGATATATTGAAGTATATGTATATTTACATGGAACGTGTATTAAGAATTTAAAAATATATGAGCACAATTCATATGTATTGATTATATATGCATACACATAGAAATTATAAATATACATTATGCTTCGTAAAAAAATTTTTATTCTTAGAAGTAGAATAATTTTATGTGCCATTTCTTTTCGAATTTTCTTATTTTAATAAAAAAATCGAAATTTTCAATAGTAAAAATTTTTTTATTCAAATATACAATTTTGTATAAAAAGAATATAATTGAAAAAGATATTTACAAAATTTGCAATATAGGAAATTTTTTCCGAATTTTCTATAATTTAATATATTTATTTATTTTATATTTATCTTTTACATATATTTCCTTTTATACTACTATATTTATGGATACTAAACATTTTTTTAAATTTAATTAAATATAAAATTTAATACATTTATCTATACATTCTCTTTAAATTGTTATAATATAAATAACATAAATACATAATACATAATATAATTGTTATATATAATAAAAATATATAAAATATATCTACAATATATAAAAATATATAGATAAAAAATATTTGATATATATCTGATATATAAAAATATAAAAATATATAAAATTTATATATATAGATAGAAATATAAATTTTCTATGTAATATATATTTGAAATGAATAAATAAAAACAAAAGAAATCAAATTTAGTTAATCGTGGCGCCATCTCGTGTTTGGATTCTGGAAGCTCTAACTTGTTAATAGGAACATAGATATGCAAGGAGGTATTTATGACGTCACAGACAAAGAAATGAACTGCACGAGAAAGATAGAAAATTACGCCATTACATTTGGTTACATAATCTTCTATATCAAAAACGCAATATTAAAAATTAATGAATTATTAGTTTTCTACAAAAAAATTCTGCACTTTTAAGTTTGTATCTCAAAGTTAGAACTTCAAACAATTTTCTTACATAAATTTTAACAGGAAATTCTGTTTAATTAATTATTTATTAATGATTAATACGTCACTTTCGAACTAACGTAACCGACATTCAACGCATTTTTCATTAATTTTACATTATTACAAGATTTATTTCTGAATATTAATGTATGAATCTTAAATATTGTTTCTTTCTTTATATTCATATATAAATTTCATTCATAATTTTTTTGTTATTTGAATAAATAAATTGATTACTTATTACTTGATTATATCTCGGGAATTTACGACTGAAATATTTTCTATTATAATCATTAATAAATAATTAATTGAACAGAATTTCTCGTTAAAATTTATATGAGAAAATTATTTAAGATTTTAACTTTGAGATATAAACTTAAAAGTGTAGAATTTTTTTGTAGAAAATTAATAATTCATTAATTTTCAATGTTGTGTTTTTAACATAGAAGATTATATATATTGTGACGTCACGAATACCTCCTTATCTATTCTAAGTTCCTACTAACAAGTTAGAACTTCTGGTGTCCAAACGCGAGATGGCGCCACAAGTACCGATTTATAACTAAAATTAATGGCATCTTCTCTATCCTTCTCGTACAATGTTGCTATTCTTATTTGTGACGTCACGAATACCTCCTTATATATTCTACGTTCCTACTAACAAGTCAAAGCTTCTAGTATCCAAACGCGAGATGGCGCCACAAGTACCGATTTGATTTCTTTGTATAATTTATGGACAAAATGTAATTTATATCAACAGTTTATATGAAAAAGAATAAGCGCGGCGTCAATTTTGTGATATTTTGAAATATTTATTGAGAAATAAATGAATCTTGTATACAAATATTTCGAAATAAAAAACTTGTAGAAGTATTAAGAAAGGTAGGAAAATGAAATGTTTTAGAAAAAAGGAAAGAAAATAAAAGAATACGAAAAATTAGACAGATTGAAATTCAATTTAATTTATTATATGTGCATTACATATATATACATATATGAAATAAGGATTTCTATTTAATATGTATTAAATTTTTCAATAAAATTTTATATATAAAAAATAGAAATGAATTTAGCAATCGTAAATTTTAATAAAATAATTACATATTTGAATGTTAATTTTTTCTAAATAAAAATGCAAAACATTCTATTTGTGTAAAAAATTATAATAAAACTTCTAAAAGAATAATTATTTTTTTTTTAACCATGCTCAAAATTCATTACGATTTAATTTAAATAGATATAAAAAGAAAAACAATAATATTTCTTAGGTTATTTTCGCTGTTTATGCTTTTCTCGCCATTATTTATATATGCAATTTTTTTGCGCAATCATAAAAATTATGTATTTCTTATTTATCTATAAATTTATAAATCTCAAATTTCAGATATGAATGAATAATGGATATTCGAAAATTAAAAAATGAAATCTATTGATACAAATATTCGATTTACAAAAAATAGAGGCTTTATAACATAATAAAATTGTGAAAAATCATTTAGTAGTAAAATTTTAAATGAAAATTTAATTTTTTTAGTGAAAATTTTTTTTATAAAAAATCTTATCAAGTTCAATCTTTCTCAAATTCAAATTTTAAGCACAAATTTTAACATAAGTAAAATTATATCTTTAATCTTTAATAATGTGAAAGAAATTTTAAATAAATGTCACAGTACAGTATATATAAATAAAATATATAAATAAAATATAAATTACATTATATATTTTATTTTTTTTTTCAAAAAAAATCAAAAAATATTTGTCAAGATATTAAAAACTGTTAAATAATTTTGCCTTTATGTGCCATGTATCATATTCTTATTATAATTTTTTTCTTAAAAAGATATGTATTTATTTATATTTTCTTTATAATAGTTATTATATTTTATTACATTTTTAATTTATTAATTTAATTTTATAATATTAAAATATATAAACTCATGTTTCTTTAAATAATAATCTGTGCATTTGTAAGTTTTTAACTATAAAATATTTCTAAATTTCTTTTCTCAATATTTTAAAGATTTTAATCAATTTTATACAAATACTTTTCAAAAATTACATTTATCATGTATTTAATTAGAAAAATTATAAATTTCCATTATTATATACAATATACTTCTTTTTTAAAAGAAAATTTTAATAATAAAGTTTTGAACATATCATCATATATATATTATGTTTAGAAAATTAAAATAAGAAGAAATATCTTTTACATTTCTATTAATTAAAAATTGCTGGTGTATTCGACAAATTTTTTTCATAATGTTTTATTTATACAATTAAGTTTTGTTTTAAAGAGATCTATACTTCGTCGATAGTTTTCTTAATAAATATATATTTTAATCTTGTACGCAGTGCACCAGCCTGTTTACGCTTCGAGGCGTTTGGCATGCTTTATGGAAGTCCATAAACGGATACAATGGTCCACTGCATAGGCATTCATATATTTAATTCATTTCTGACTTTATCTCGATGGTTGCATTGAATCGAGATGCATTTTATAATAGAGTGAAATTACGCTGAAGTCATCTGATTGTTTTTTCTTTATATAAAAAAAAATGCCGTTATCGCACCCATAACATCATTTCAGAACATAAGATCGATATTGCATGATATATGGTTTAATTGTAAATTATAATTTATAATTTCTTATAAAAAAGAAATGAAAGAAAGAAAGGAATAAAAATAGAACAAAATATCGTAAGTTAATAATCGAACAAGGAATTACAATTCGAAGTCTTTATTTAATTGTTTAATTTAACAAAATTTAACATGTAAATGCAACATGATGCATCATTCGTTTTATTAAATTTTTGAGGTACAAAAATATATATATATATTTTTCTTTAAATATCACTTATGTACTTTGTACGCAAATCTCACTAGCATTAAAAAAAAAAAAAAAAAAAAAAAAAAAAAAAAAAAAAAAAAAAAAAAAAAAAAAAATTATATATGCTAATCTCAGAAAGTATGGAAAACAAAAATTCTGTAGCATCTGAATATATTTCTATGTCGACAGTCTCTAAACAATCACTTTTTATAACGTTAATCCGATTAAATAGAAATCAATGAGCATAAAATGAATTATTAAACTAAAAAAAATATAAACTAAAAAATTAATTAATGTGTTATTTGTACATAATTTTGTTAAATCGAGTTTTGTATCCTTTAAAGATACACTATCCTTTGTTATAACGAAAATAAAAACTTAAATACAATACTGCAACAAATAACACTCATACTTTATCACACTAGAATAACGTTATGATAAGAATGAACGGAATGATCATAAACTCTGTTACTGATAACAATATTGATCTTATAATTAGTTAAAAGGCACTGAAAAAGAATCATATAATTCTTATTCCTCTGCTATAAATGTACTATTCTCAGAAGATTCGGATTTTATTTTAAGTGGTGAATTAGGAGTAGTGCTGTCGGGAGTTTCGGTACCTGAATCACATTTATTATTATTTTCTCTATCGTCGTTAATATTAGAGTTTTTCATTTTTATCTGACTCTTGTCTCTTGATATTTTTAATTTGGATTTCTTATCAGGATCAAAATGACCTTCAAGAACGATTAGTACATCTTCTATTTTCTTTTCGTCAGTTGCAGTTAATTTTTCCTTAATTAATTTATCTAAGCCTTCTTTTTTTCCATTACTCCATGCTTCCTATATAACATATATATTTAACAATAATTAAAAATTATTAAAATAATAATTACATTATTTACATCATCGTATTAATTTAATATTTAATATTAAAATTTCATTTATTTTTATAATATACAAAATAATTTAATTAAAAATAATAATTTTATTTTAATTTATACGAACTTGTAATTGAGAATATTCTATTCCTGCTTCAGCAAGCAATCGTCGTAAAGGACTAGCATGTTGACGTTCTCGACGATTTACACGAAATAGAACTCCAAAAATAGGCCTTAAACTATTTTGACGTTCAAATACTATTTTTAATTCTGAAACAAGATCATTATATTACATAATAAAATATTTCATATTCAAAATAGCTTTTAATTTCTATTGCATATTTATATTACCTGCATATTCTTGTTCTTCTATTTCTACTGGTTGAACAAATTCCCTAATAAATTCAACAGTATTTTTCATGGCACTATCACTATCACCACTGCCATCTGCTTCATTTCCTTTTGTAACTTCTAATGAACTTAAATGTTGTACTATTTGTAAAGCCAGGCATGCTCTATCTTTTGCATTGCCTAATTGTGTTTCCTTAAATTATAACAATTTTATATTAAAATAATTATATAGAATATATTTTTATTATTTAGAATATAAAAAGTTCATGCATAATATTTTAAGAAAAATTTACTAACTTGGTTAAATAAACTTTGGGATAATGTCCTGAGAGTATATGCACGAACTGTGTTTGCACATTTTACTTCAGCAATATTAAATCCATTTGCAAAGCCTTTTACAATTTGTTTAAATCTTTCCAGAAGATTATATTTTTTTAAAGACTCAATTAACATAGCAGGAATAACTTTACGTGGTTCATGATAAACTAATATTATACCATCTGCTGCATCTCCTCTTATAGAGGAAAGCCATGTTATAAAATCTGTTAATGCAGATACTTCACTTTTAGTTTTTAATGCCTATATAAAAATATAGGATTTAATATGATTAAATATAAAATATTAATTCTTTAATATTGATAAAAATTTTACCTTATTAGTTTTGTTATCTTTAAGTACACGAAACTTGCCAATAGTTACTATTTTCATATTATGTCTTTTCATAGCTGGAGGATTAAGATCTTTATATGGCATTACATATTGAGAATATGAGGAACTAGGTGTATATCCAGCTATTTGACATATTTCATCTATAACTTTTTTGCCCGTAGTATCCATATCCCAACCAACTAAACGATAGTTGCCTGGACCAATACCTACTGCAGAAGGTTTTCTTGGTGGGTTGGATTTTCCATTTTCCATTATTGTTGATGATACCATTTTTATAAATTAAAAGTCTGAAAATGCATAAAAATTTCTATAAAACAATTTTAATTTAACTTATTTAACTAATTTTATTTAATTAATTATTAATTTAAGATAAAGAAATAATGTATTAATGTTAATTTTATCAATAAAATTAATAAATTAATTAATAAATAATAAATATAATATTATATATATATAAAAGACAAATTAAATATAAATAACTAAAAGTTATAATATATTATTTAATTAATTTTATTATTATAAAATATATATATTTTAAAATAAAATGTATACATCTTTGTATAATCTATGTATGTAACTTAAGTTTTTCTTTAGCAAATGTTTGGAACGAACACTCAGTTTTTGTACAAGGGCGAGATATTTTGGTACATGCGTAGAGCAGATTATACATGGTATCGGCAAGGTCGACCTTGAAATTCAATACAATACACAAATACTTCAGAACACAAAAGATTAATAATTTGAAAACATGACTATTAATATTGTCTTACCTTCTGGAATTAACTTACAAATTATTTTTCAAATAAAAATTATCTTATATCTTATATCTTATACGTAGTGATTTTTTTTATGTCACGTAAAAGAGATGCCAAGAACGAAACGACAAAAATATTAATCAGAAATAAATACACAGACTCACGTTTTGTAAATCTATTAGTATTATTATCGGGAACAAGAAATTTTGCATGAGAATAATGCTACGCCATCAACGACGATGAAAAAATAACAGTCTAACAGCTGGTATCTTGTTTTGCATAAGTGCATTTACCAGTAAGGAAACTGAATGTTGCATGAATTTTTGCTATTCCGTGACGTCTATGCAACACGCATTACACATCAGCTTGCGACGAATCATGTCATGTATGTAAAATAGATATTTTCATCACACGTGGATCTATTGCAATTCATGAATAGCCTCGATTTCGATATTTTCGTTTTCATTAATTCAACATCAGATTCACTACGCTCACTCACCAATTCACGTGATTTTGTAGTTCCTTTTTTTTTTTCACGTTTTTTCTTATTATGATGATTGAAACAGACGATAGCACTATAAATCCTTTGTAGATACTGGAAACTACTGGAACGCAACTAGATACGTTTGAACACACGTGCGAGATTGGCAGTAAACCGCCCGCTCGATGATCTGCGCGTGCGTGCTTGATCGTAAGTCACGTGGTTCTAATGTCACTATTGGGTGAAGGAAAGATTGGCAATTGTAGTTCTTCTAATACAGTAGATCTTCTAATACAGTACGCGATTAAATTGAAACGTTTGTATACGCATTTGTTTCTTATATTTCAATGTAATTATTTATAGATCTAAATTTTATCGATAATATACGATTAATGATCGTAGAAAAAAAATAAGAAAGAATTGATTAATAGAATCTTATTCAATATTGAATTATAAAGTATTTATATTGCAATTGATAATGATTTTTTTAGATAATGATTTATCTATTGTTATAATATCATTGTTATAATAAAATATAATAGAATACAATAAAATAGAAAAAAATTACATAAAAAAGTGAAAACAATTTTTGTAAATGGAAAAGTATTTTGATAAAATTGATAATTATATTTCATTATCAATTAAGGTTATAATTTTTTTTTGTAATATTTTTCCATATTGAAAGTATTTGAATCGTGAAGAATCGTAATAACTATTATGATGAAAATTTTTTTTAAAGATAGACAAATGATTCAATATTCGCACTTCCAAAGAAAATTGAACGTGATCAAAATAATGAACAATTAAACGGTAAAAATATTAATTTTGTATAACTTTCAAATTATATTATTTGTATAATTTATATAAGAAATAAATAATAATTTAATCGATTTAATTATATCATTTTCCTTTATGTTATTTTCTATTGGACATTGACAGGTGGAAATTTGAAATGAACCAAGAATGCTGTTGCAATTACGGCGTGTTCTAAAGATATACATGTGTCATTCATATTTAATATGAAAGTGCTGCATACTAATGGTATGTAAAAGAAATTCACACATATCCATGCATTAAATATATATTCAATATTGTTTCCGAATCGAATTCTAAACTGAAAATTCATTTATAAGTATGAAAATTCATTAATGTGAAATGATGAGAATGCTTCATCGATGCTTCTTATTTATTATTGTAATGACGCATCTATATAAAATTCCATTTGCACGTTGCACTTTGGTTAAAATTGTTGACGGTAGCGATAAATTGGCATGCAGCTTATCTTTCGTTATCTGTTATTTATCCTTTTTTAGAGCGGTCCGCATGCTTTGTGGCGCTGATAAATTGTTTCAACTGGGTCATACGTTCGCTACGGCTCGTTTTTGTCTTTTCATTTATCCGTGGAATTTCTACCGTGCCGGTTGTTCCAAATTTATCGAATTCTCCGCGGTATTTAACGCGAGAAAATTGAAAGGCGAGCCGCACACGGTCAACTATCACTGCATTTTTTCGTGTGATTAAATTCCCATTATGATGCAACTTCACAATATACACATGTTTCTGTATAATATTAGAAGAATAATTATCTAAACCGGTAATTACCATCATTACATTAATGCACATATTGTACAGTAAGCCGAATATTGTTATTATTTATTATCATTTGTTTTTTATATCTACATAAGTAATTTATCACGAGAGCATTTCGATAATTTTCAAGATATTAATTTGAAATCAAATAAATTTATATTTATTTTTGTCTAAGGTAAATTATTAAAAAATTTTTTTATTGTTTTTATTTATATTAAAAAAAGCAATAACTATAGAAATATTTTCATATATATAGTTTAATTTAGAAAATTTTCATTTATATATATTTACTAGATTACTCCTGAGAAAATTTTTTATTTTACACATGTTTATAAGTGTGTTAATATTAAAATTAATATTCAAAAATATTTATGAAAAATGTAACTTAATAATATTAAGTTAAGATAAACAAGTTAAATATTATTTAATTGTAAATGAAATTCAGTTCAGAGTCAATTGTATTATTTGTTATTAGAGTTATTAGCATATTACATAAATTAAATTGTTCATAAATATTTTGACATGATATTTGAATAACAAAAATGAAATATTTTGCACCAATATAATAAATAAATGTTAAATATGTATTTAAAAAAATATTCATAAAAAAATGAACATTGCATACATTGAAGATAAAAATTTTAATTAGGAAAATTATTTTTTTTTTCAAAAAATAATGAATAGAATTTATCAACTAACACAATACTTTTTTATTTTCAGTATAAATGATATAATAGAAATAATAAAAAGAATAATTTTTTAAAATTTTGAAAATACTTTTTATAATGAATGTTTTATCTGAAACTTATGTGAATACAGATTTATAAATTTAGAATTATGAAAAAAATAATAATAACACACAATTGAATTTTAACACACAATGAAATTTTATGCATATGTATATATACATATCACATAAATAAATCATAATAAATATGGGTAAGTCAAAATTAAATATCAAAATTGTAATAATAAAAAAAACTCCTGAGTTTAAAAATTTTATCATAAAATGAAATTAATCTATTATAGTTTTACCTACGCTTGAAAGCTTTTTTCCAACCACCGTCACATTCGCTTTTTACAATATGTGGCAAAGCAAAATCTCATGTAAATAGTAAAAACCATTAAAGCATGTTTGAAACATTTCACATTCGTGGATCAGTTAATATTCGAGCTTGGTTTTGCTATTTGTCCACGTGACAGTTTCATATCTACTCTCTGATGGAATATGTGATACTATGAAATTTGAATGAAATGTAGTCTAACAAGAATTGATCATTTTTATAATAAATATCGGTTTAATAATCACGATATAAATGGAATTGATATAATATATAATATGAATAAATATTTTAAGAAAAAAAGAAAAAAAATGAATATCGAAGAAAAGAAAAGGCAAAGATCAAATTTATATCCTATTAGAGTCAATAATTTTTTTGAAATGTATTGTACTATAATGAATATCGTATTCAAATATGACAATTGCTTTGAAGAGAATTTCGACAGTAAAAAAGAAAGAAAAAAGAGATGGACGAAAGAATTGAAATATCTTGATAAGTTGATTAGTATTCAACCTAGTTTCGGCAAACGTAAAATCGATCATCTCTGTATCTCTAGCGTGTGCACTTTCTATCTTGACTGATAGAAAAAAATAGTGTTTCATTGAAATTAAAAAATAGTAATGAGAAAATGAAACATAATATGTGTACATAAATTTCAATGGAAATTGAAAAGAGTAATTTCTGAAAAAAGAAAAAAGAATCACATCTTTTTTTATGTACTTACATCATCATTACACAATCATGTTGATAAATTAAAAAAAATACATAATAATTTTTTTTTAAATTTTTTCTAAGAAAATTTTCGTATTACTTTCTTTAAATCAATATTATTTACTGTTTATTTTTTAAATATTTTATTAGATTCATTTTTAAAAATTTCAAATAAATAATGAAGAATGTAAAATTTTAATCATAATATTCTAATTTAGTTATAATATATATTTATAATTCAATATTAAAATAATATTGATTTATTATTGTATCATATGAAACATATAGATTTTATAAATTATGCAGTTTTAAAATAAAGAAATTAGAGAGCAACAGCTAACAGCTATCGAGATAAATGGTACATCAAAATTCAGTATGGAAGATGACTACAAATGGAAAATATCGGGAAACGAATTTTAGATTCACACGTTTGCTCTTCATTAATATTCAGTCTATCATCCACAAATGTAATAGAGTCATTGGCAAACATTGTATGAGAGATAAAAGTAGAAAAGAGATTAATTAAATGCGAAGATCGTTTTAAAATCTGAAAAAATTTCTTATTAAATTAAGATTAAATGGATCTGTAAAATTAAATCTATATATGCAAAAACAAAAATAAAATAAATAATAAAAAGTAAAATAAATATGAAAGATAGTTTGATTTCTTAATTAAAAAATTAAATAATTTCTTATTTGAGTTAATTAATCGAAATAAAATATATAATGTTCATTATATATTTTTGTGAATGCGTAAAATAATAAGGAAATCTATCATTTTTTGATGCAATTGGCAATGTTAATAACATAATAAAATTCAAAAAATCTATTTAAATGCATAACATTAAATATTAAATAAAATAAAAAATTATATGTTTATTTATATAAACTAAAAACATAATAATTCTAAATAAAATTTAGAATTGAGAATATATTTAATATTATTTATTATTTCAAACATTGATTTATTAATTTTATTGATTGTCAATAATTTATGGATAGAAATGTATATCACATGTATATCACAAATATATTTTATACATTCATTTCACGTATATGTATCTTCTTACAGAAATATCATGAGCATGTAGGTTTCTAGAGTTCATTCAGACTTGTATTTCGCATGAAACCGAATTTCAACCACAAACAACCACTCAGTCCGTTCTGCACTTGTCATTCACCAGAATGCATGATAAGCTCATTCATATCTGACATTCGTGAAATTCATTCACCCCCGTCATATAGAGTAATTCATATAACCTGTTAGTTGATATGCTAGTATAATTAAGTATGCCATATCATAATATTGAAAAAAACCTATTAAAAAAGATTATATTATTTATATTGATAATTTATATTGATAAATATTGAAAAAGTAGATAAAATAATATTAGATGAGAATATTAAATTAGATACATACACAATTTAGATAGAGAATATAATTTAGATACATTATCGTAATAATTAATTTTTAATTATTATTATTAATAAAATTATAGTTTTTTAATTTGAGATAAACGATCAAGATTAAATTATTCTTTGAATAATAAAAAAATATCATTAAACAATAAAATTATACTATTTAAAAATAATACTATTCAAATATGAAAGATCTTTAAATCGATTTCTTTAATAGTAAAAGAACAAAAAAATATTTTCTTAGAAATCTTAAAAATTTTAATATTAATTAAATTTTAAATTGAATAAAATTTATTTATTGTTTTAATTTCTTCTTATCACAAGAAAGAAAGAAATTAATTTTACTTTATTATTTTAATTTTTTAATTATTTTCTTATTTAATTATCTAATATTAAAAGAAAATTTTAATAAAATTGAAATAAACTTACATCATTTGTCTATACAATAATATATTGATTTTTATACTTTTTTTCCATTTACATGTTTTTAAGAATTTTTTTTTACTTAGCTTGGTCTTAAAATTTTTCTGAAAACATCTTTTTATTAAATACAAAATACAACAAAGTATTTGCATTTGTTTTCAGACATTTCACGTATAACGTATTCATTCGTTACGATATATTATGTTAATATATGAATCTTATAAATAAACCGCTTTTTTAAATACAATTGTACAACATATACTAAATATTCCAAGCCTTATTTAAATAAATAAAACGATATACATCCATTTCATTATGAAATTTTTTCAAGTATACAACATGTCAAACTTATAACGAAAGACACACACATAATACACATAATCAAAATCATTTTTCTTTCCTTTCACAATGATTTCACTAAAAGATCGAAATGTCCACCGGAACGAAAGTTTTATTTATCTTAATTTAACCACACTGCACACAAAAAATAATCGAAAGAGGTTCTGAATAAAAGAAAGACTCACAATACTGAACGATCTCGTCGTGAATCCCGTCTGAGAGAAGAAATTATTTCACCGTTGGCTCCCGATCGTTCTTTTTTGCAATGGATCGACTGGGATGATCGGTCGTTAAAAAACGATTCTTCGTCGCGGTTACGCCGCGTACGTGACACTTTTTTTCCCGCGATCTCGATCCTTTCTGTTCACCGTGACGCCTTCGTAAACGCCGTGAAATGTAGACAAAAGACCGTTGACTCGACACACAGATTCCGATAGTCTATTGTTTTTCCTTCATTTTCGGCTTTCCCTAGGATATTATCTTTATCTCATTTCCGCGCGTTATTTTTCGTTCTTCTTTTGTTTCACTGAAGGTAGAATTTCCTATAATTGTCAGATGACATAGTATGTCTGATATGTCAGTTACATGTATTCACATATGTACTAAAAATAACCTACACGTGGCGCTGGTGTATAGAATAAAATATAGTTAAAAATATTTGAATGCATGTGTCCATGTTTTGGTTATATGGAATACCGCCTTAAGTTTTCACTAATTGACGATGATGAGGCGCCCTTCTTTGTATCTGTTGCGATCAACTTTGCTCATGTTCGATTCGGCCATGCTTTCGCTGATAACGTAACATTGCAACAAGATAGCGTGAGATTTGCACGTATCTGCAACGTGTCTGATATACGAGTGATTTGTGGTGAACAATTGATAAGGTTGCATTTCTTGCATGCATATAGATGTGGTTTTTGATGCGCAGCAAATTAAAAATATAGATGAAATTATTGAATTGAAATTTTTAAATTTTTCAATGATTACTTTATGGTAATATAATTTTATTTTTAATATAAATTAAAAGATTGATTAGAAAAATTGATATACGTTGAAAAGTAAAAATGTAGAAAATTCAAAGTAGTAATAATCTTAATTCAGAGTATTAAGATAAAATATTAAATCTAATGAGACATATTATATTTAATGAATTCGTATAATTATAATATTTTATGAAATTATGGAGGAAAACTATTATTATATGATAAAATTCAGCATTAATATGTAAAAATATTTCTTTTTACTATGATATAAATAATTTACAAATATTTATATTCATTTTTAAACTTTTATTTTATTTGACAATCGAAGAATATAATTAATTTATTATTGAGATTATTATTCCAATAAAAAAATTTATTTGAATTAACATATAATTCAATTATTTTTATGTTTCAACTAAATAGACTACTAAAACTAACCTAAAATAATTCATTTTATAGTTATGAATGATATCAGTTTTATTTTTATCGATGATATGTTTTCTACATTTTTAAGAAAAAGTTTCTTGTTATCAATACAGTAATTTTTTATTATATTAACAGATTAAAAATATAAAAAAAAGATATGTTGAATATGAACAAGATTATATTCAAACATATCAATACGTTTTGATTTTTATTAATTTAATTTTTTATAATAAATATTAAAAAAAGATAAATAAAATTAATATGAATTTTCAGTTTCAGTTTATATTATTTATAAATTTGATAGTTTCTTATATATTAAAAAAAAGTTTGATAAATTATATAGTTATTGTTGGAATAAAAATTTTACAACATGATATACATTATTGAATGTGATAATAGAATTTGTGGACGATATTACGTATTGTGTGATAAGCATGCAACTCGTGGAATTGCAATGAAGTGATAAGATCGTCTCGCGTTATATACTTATATTGAATTTTTTTGTTTTGAGTGTTCTTCGAATTTCTAATATTATTATACATAATATTTGTTTGAAGAAAATACTGTGGATATTTTAATATTTATTTATTTGTAAATTGATAATTTATAAAATAAAATTTATAAATTTTTTAAATATAATAATAATGTAATATAATAAATATGATAATAATGAAAAAATGTAATAAATAAAATAATATATAGTAATTTATGATAAAATATATAATAAATTTTTGAACATTGATTATTAAATTTTTAATTTTTAATAATAAATAACAATAATTTATACAATTTTTAATAATAAATAACAATATTTTATTTAACATATGATTATGGGATTCTCAGTTTTAAATATAGAAAGTTGTTTTTATAATCAAAGAATATATATTATATGCTATATCACTATTAACATATAAGAATTTAATATTCTAATTAATCACTTGATAATGAAAGAATAAAAAATTATTATACAATTGATAAATCAATTTACAAGATAAGAAAACATACAAATTATTTGTATATTTCAATTTCTAAAAAAATTAATTTAAAGAACCAAATATCCATAGACATAAAATATGAAATAATATATTATTTAAATTACCAACATGATAACGTGACTTATAAATAATACAGGAACATGCAAAGATTTATCTACTAATTTATTATAATACGATCTCGTTTCAATAATGAATGATTTTATTGTCTGTTTTTACTTTTTTTCTTTCTGTCTTTTTTTAAATGCAACAAACGAAATGCATTTCCAACAAAATTATCATATCGTGCAAATTATCATAAATATTGTTTTTTTGATTCTTAATAAAATACATTTTATAGTTTATTTAATGTCATATTATAATTACATGAATGACACTTGAAAATGACATGCATGCATGTTCATTTGTTTAATAATATAAGTTGTGAGAACTAGTTAATTGATAAGAGTGTCGGTTTTTTTGTGATTTATGATATATTTC